GTCTGTGTTGTTTCGTGTATTAGGGTGTTCGTTTCCTGGCAGTGCTGCCAGGGGCGTGTCTGTAGTAAGATGGGGAGGGCACCGAAATGATGGGGTGTGCTATTATCTATTCTTCTAAGGTGCATGGACTCTGAAAGCAATATAATATAACCCCAGTCCCATTTTTTCTGGGGGTCTCTCACAATTTCGCCTAACCTTTTAATACGCATGGCTTTAATATGCGTTTCCTAAAATCGCGGAGGTAAATACCTCCGTTCTTCTTCTCCTGATAGAGGGTGTTATTGGCGATAGAATAGATGGTGGACCTGAAAATAAATCGCCTGACATTTCTGCTTATCTCTTTAATGAAACTGGGGAGGGGGTCATCATTCACCGTGGCGGGGAAAATAAATTTTTGACATAAATGTAGGTGTTCAACTACGGTTGCCCTACCAATATTGTTGTGGTTTTGTACTTGTACCTTCCAGCATGTCGGTGGCCGTTCTGGTCAAGTCTTCCCATGTTGGTGTGGTGTATTGCGTTGGGATTGTTGGTGATGTCAAGCCGTATATTTTCAGAGCCTGGGTGTTCCGGAGCCCGGCTAAGTCAGCCTGACCCCCTCCACCGTCCAAGGCCCATGATTTGCGACTTTCGCAACATTTATCTTGCTTCTCACTACCTTTACCGAAACGGGTTAAAGGTGTGGAAGATTCTCTCAATGGAAGCCTTGTTGAGGGTAGGAAAACAGTGTCGTCTGCGTAAGCTAGGACTTTTCTGTTCTCCTATGCCTTGGAATCGTAGTGCCGCGAATATCCGCGTCTTGCCTGACCGCTTCCAGGAGCGGTTTCCAGCATGAGCACGTAGAGGAGGTGTGACAGCGAACACCCTTGTCGCACAGATCTGGTGATTGCAAAGGTGTCCGTCAACGTGTGGTTGACTATCACCTGGCTCCTCGATTTTTGTAGAAGTATCTGCACCCAGGCTCGGAACACGGGCCCGAAGTTGTTGGCGATGAGGGTGTCGTGCATGTATTTGTGTGAGATTCTGTCAAAAGCTTTTCCTCCTCCTGGTCCAAGGACAGGAGAGAGGCAGGACAGTTTTTTCTCGGCGTGGTAGGTGATTATGTCTCTGATGTAGTGCGCGTGTGAGAAGACTGACCGTCCCGGCACCCCACACACTGCTGGTCTGGGTTGTATGAGTGTGTTTAGATGATGTTTCAGGCGGCGTGTGAGTGGTTTTAGTGAGAATCTTGTAAGTCGACATTAAGAAGGGATTTAGGACGATAGTTTTTGATAAGAGTTTTGTCTGCGCCGTCTTTGGGGAATTAGGGAGATGTAAGAGGTATTGAATTCGTCAAGAATTGACCTTTAAGACGAAAGCTCCCTCGTAGACTTTTAGAAGGAGTGGACCTAACAGGTGAAAAAAATTGGAAAAATTCGGCAGAAAGGGCCGTCACTACCGGATGATTTGAGGCCTTCATGTCGATAAGGAATTCGTAATTTCTAAACAGCGTTATGGGACTGTCGAAGCGTCACGTTGCTGCGTCGTTCAGTCGTTTTGGCGTGTCGTAGAAACCGGTTCTGTTTCCTGTTCGTCCGGTCGCTCTTGATGGAAATAAGTCGGCGTATTATTGTTCGGAATGGCTTGTGTTGATTTGTGGAGGGAATCCGTGGTGAAGTGTTTCCCTCGGTGTCTGTGATCTTTTGTATCTGTCTATTGTTGCTGGATGGTTATCTGGTTCGATTGCTAGATATTGTTTGCTGGGGGTCTCCCTTTTGTGATTGGGGTTAAAGGGCCCTGTCCCCAAGCAAGGCGCCCAGAAATCTAGCCCGGGATGTGGGTTTTCCTAGTTCAGTCTCTAAGGTTTTGTTTTTGTGTGGGTCGTGTCCTGCTGTCATTTTTTGTCATTTTTGAAACGCGTCCGGGGAAATTTTTTCCCCCTTTCCCGGGGCCGGGGTGGGGGAATTGGAGGGTTGTAAGCTGGTCTGGGGGTCAATCGGTCTTTAAAAAACTTTCCCCCGGTGGTAGGGGGGTTGTGGGGCGTGGGCGGGATGGGTTGGATGTATGGGAATTTGGCGGAAGTCCGGGGGGATTCGGAAGGGAGATTGGGAATTTTGGGCGGAAAAAACCCGGGCTGAAAAAAGGGTGTTTTGTGAAAAATGGTCGAAGGGCAGTAATTCGGGGGTCTGTAAATTTTGGGGGTTTTGACCGGGGGGTTTGCTGTTGAGGGGTGGTTTTGGGGGAACCAAAATCGCAAACATTGGGGGGGTAATGGCCTTTTTTGGGGTTTCCAGGGGTTTGGTTTGGGTATTTTTTCCCCGGAAGATCGTTAAAAAAATGGGGCTATGTATTAATCAGGGGTCCAAAACCTGGGTTCAAAAAGGGCCCTCTGGCCCGGCCTCTTCTAAAAACCGCGTCCCCTTTGGGGCAAACCACCAATAACACCCTAGGGGGCCCGGAACGCAAAGGGAAAAACGGCCCCCGGGGGGACGAAAAATTTTGGGGCCCGGGGGCCGGGCGGTGGTCCTTTTAAAGGGTTGAAAAAGGGGGGAAAAGTACATGTTTTTTGTCATGTATTGTTTCCCCCGTAAAGAACGTGGTGTTCGGGATCCTAGATGGATGAAACGGGTCCGGGGGGTTTGGGAATTTTGGGGTTTTCGGGTGGGAGTAGGGTTCCAATCCGGGGGTGTTGTATCGGGGGCGGGTGAATGTTGTTCAGGTTTTGGGGAAACGTTGAAAAAATTGGGGTCGGAGCTTGTCCGGGGAAAGGGGAAACAAAGGTTTTTTTCGGGGAAAGAAAAAATACTAATTGTGTTGTTGTCCGGGGGGCCAAATTTAAGACATTTTCCGCCCTTTTTAAGGGGGCAAAAAAATGGGGGTTTAATTTTAAAAATAAATGGAAAAAGAATTTTTGGGGGGGATGAAACTTGAAAAGTTGGGGTTGTGTTCTTGAAAGGGGGGTTTTTTTAAAATTTGGGGAAAATTTTTTTCGGGGAATCCGGGTTGGGGGAATTTTGGAACTCCTGAAATGGGTTTTTTCCCTGGCGGTTTTCCTTCTCCTGGGGCTGGTAAGGGGAAAAAATCGAAAATTAAGATCATGGTTGTGGCGGGGTTCCAAGAAAATTTTTCCTCGGTAAATTTTTAAAAGAAATGGGTTTTTATGGTGTTTTTTTCGGGAAATTCCCATTTTGGGAAAAAATTTTTTTTGGGGAAATTTTTCTCTTTGGAAAATCCCGGTTTTGCGGGCTTAACTCCTTTCCTTTTAAAATTTCCCGCGTTTTCTCTTCTTATAGTTCTGCTTTTTTTTCTTTTTTAGCACTTCCCCAAAAGGTTTTTTGGTAGTTTGACGGGTTTTCGTCGGTTGGTTTGGATTGGTTTTGGGTTCGTGGGGCCCCTTTTTAGAAAAAAAAGGGGGGTTGAAATTTCCGGGGAACGCTCTAAATTTTTTGGTTTTTTTTTCCGGGTTTCCCCTTTTTGCTTTGTGGGGTTTCCCCCGGGTTTTGAATTTTTGCAGTAAGAGTTTTTTGGGGGTACCAAACTGTTTCTTTTGGGGTTTTGTTTTTGTTTTTTTCTTTTTTCTTTTCTCCCCTTCTCCCTTTTTTAAAAAAGTTTGGTTTTAAACAGGTCCCCACCGACCTGGTGTCCGGGTTGGGGCCTTCTCCCCCTTTGGGCCCTTCTCCCCACCTAAAATTTCTTTACCGGACCTTAAAAGGGTTTCCCGGCGCCATTGTTTTTCCCCTTTTGGGCCTTTTTTTAAAGGGGGACCAAGTTGTTCAAAAAATTTTTTTTTTTTTTTTTTTTTTTTTTTTTTTTTTGGTTTTTTTTTTTTTTTTTTTTTTTTTTTTTTTTTACAAATGGTTTTTAAATTTTTTTGATCAAACACACCAAAGTTAGGACTTTTTTTTCCTTAAAGAATTGGGCCCCGGTTTTTTTTTTGATTGGGAAAGATATTTTTTCTTTTAAATCTCATGGGTTTTTTTCCGGGGAACCCCCAAAATTTCAAATACAATTTCCCACCCGGGGGCCCAAGTTGCGGAAAAAAATTGGGCGGGTTTTCAATTTTTCCCAAATAAAAAAACACCGTTTGAAGTTTGGGACCCAATTTTGGGGGCCCTTAGGGTTTTTTTTTTGGAAAGGGTTTTTTTGGCTAGGGTTTTGAACCTGTTGATTTTCCAGGAAAGGGGGCCCCAAAACCCCTTTTTGGGGCGCCCCCCGGCGGGGGAAGGGCCTTAACCCCTTAAAAATTTAGGGTTTAGGCCCAAAAAAGTTTTTTTGGGGTTTTTGGGGAAATTTTCCGAAAAGGGGTTTGGTTTTAAATTATTTTTTTTTGGGGGCCCCGTTTTTTTACTTTTTCTTTTAAAATATTTTTTAACCTTTTCCAAACTTTTTCCTTTTAACCCCTTTTTTTTTTTTTTTGTTAATTTGGAAAAGGCTCCCCCCTTTTAAACAAAAAGGGGTTTTTCTTCCCCTTTGGGTGGGGTTTTTATATTTTTGCCCAGGAAGGGGGGTTTTTGATTTGGGTTTTCCCCCTTGGGTTGGGGAACTTTACCGGGCCCCAAAAATGTTTTTTTTCTTTGCTAGAGTTTATTTGTGCTAACCTCTGTTTCTCTTTGAGGTAGTTCTTCCGGTTTCTTCTTGGTCTCTTTCTCCTTATCTTTTTCTTCCGTTGTGGTTTGTGACAAGTCCCGCCCGACCCCTGGATGTCGTCGGCTTGGGCGCTGCTGCCACGTTGGTTCTTCTCACCTTCTACCTGCTGACTTGTCTTACTTTCGGCTATTTTCCTTGATGGTGTGGCTGCTGCCACTCTTTTCAGCTGAGGCTTTCATTAAGGTACAAAAGTACCTTTCAAATAAAATTTATTTTTTTTTTTTTTTTTTTTTTTTTTTTTTTTTTTTTTTTTTTTTTTTTTTTTTTTTTCACACATGTTTATTGTATTATGAAGCAACACACACAAAGATTAGACATACAGTCCTATACAGCTTAGGCCTGCCTCCATTTCTTGACTTGAATCCCAGATACCTTTATCTTAATCTTCTAGCTTCTCTCTCAGACTCCAGAAGTGTCAAAATATCACCCTCGCGGACTGGGCCCTTAACGTTGCGAATAATGGATCTGTTGGAGTCATCCAAGAACTCGACTCGCACCTGTGTGCACTGTCCCTGGGACCCAGTACGTCCGAGAACCTTCAGGACTTTAGCAAGTTTGACTGGCTGAAGCTTGTCCATGTTGACTCGTTGATGGCTGACGCAGAAAAGGCAGGCACGCGGAAACTTTCGGTACCGAACAACGACAGAGCGTCGACGGCTTAACCACTTAACAAAAATCAGAGGCCAAGAAAGTTTTAAAATTTTGACCATATTATCAGAATAAGTTGGATAGTTAAATTATTATGTAATCTGTTAGATATCTGTTATTAAATTGCATAATTCAGTAAAAATATTTTTAACCTTTTAATACAATCTATTATACCTAATTAAAATTTTGAAAAATTTTTCATAAAATAAAAGTAATTGTAATAATAATATGCTAAAATGAACTACTTTAACAAAATATGTATTATCTCCCTTGGATGTTTAAAATATATTCTGTAACGCGAGAGAGAGTGTGTGTGTGTGAGTCTGTGTGTAACTGTGGTTATGTGCAACTACGCACTACAACATGTTTTTTTTCTTTTTATATTGATATGTTTGTGTCCCTCTAACGTATAGATGATCCACGACTATAACAGTCAAATACCAGGTTTTTATATAGAAAGGGGAGGGAGCTAACATCTCATAATGTAAAGTTGTTTATAATATCACTCTCACCACTAAACGCAAACAAGATTCATATTTCTTAGCTGTTTCATTTTCTGCACGGAATCTGTACACACTATGTCTGTGTAATGTGTTGCAGCCGCTATTATTATGCTCGAACTCTCATGACACAAAACTCAAATATCTTAACAAGGGGCGCAACTTCATTCACGAGAGATAATCCAGGAAATAAACAAATTCAATGAATTAAATAACGACCGATGTTAAAGATGTCATTAGACAATGTAAAACTTTAATGAACAGATGCATTCAAGTATAGAGTTTTAGTTTTTCGCACATATTTACATCTTTGTAAAGTTCTCTTTTACCGCTTCGAGTGTCGGGTCTTCGGACCCGCCAGGTAACGGTGGAGCTTTTTCTCTTTTCGAAATCGAAGATATGTAAAACCTGAGGAAAATTCGGAACCCACCCTGTAACGTGATAACCTTGGGACTTACGACTCTGGAAAACATGGCTCGATAAGCAGAACTTGTCTTAGGCAGAGCTGCCAAACATAATTTTTTAAAACCAAGTTAAGCTAAACAAAGAAGCAAGCAATGTATTAGCACAGAATAAAAAAATAAAAAAACACACACACACACAAATTGTTAAAAAGAACAATTTTATAATTACGAAAAGATCTTCTTCTTCTTCTTCACTTCCTCTTTTATCGCTGTGGGTGTCGAGGGAGATATAAGGTTCTGTTTCTAGCTCTTCTGGCCGCCTCGACCATATTTACATCGTGCTGTTGTAGAGTTTCATTCATGGGATTGGCATTCTTGCATAAACTGTCGATGTAGGTGATAAACAGCAGTGGTCATAAGACACACCCCTGTCTTACTCCAGATGTTACTGTGAATGGATGAGATGTTCCCTGATATATTCTAACTACACTTCTACAATCCCTGTATAAACTTTTGCACACTTCGATGAGGTGTTCGCTTACTCCATATCTTGCCATTACTTTCGATACTAATTGTCTGTCGACTCTGTCAAATGCCTTCTCCTGATCTACGAATGCCACAAATAAGTTCTTATTGTATTGAATGTTCTTTTCTATTGACTGTTTAAGTGTGAAGATTGCATCTGTGCAGCTTCTATTTCTTCTAAATTCCATCTATTCTTCTGCCAGCTGTGGTTCTATCACTGGTCTTAGTCTTGTTTCTATTATCTTGGCATACATTTTGCCAACATGGCGTAAAAGAGAGATGCCTCGGTATTGACCGCATTCTCGTTTGCTTCCTTTGTTCTTCCACAATGGTATAACTATTGCATGTTGCCAATCAATAAGGGCTGTTTGTTGTACCCTTGCTGCATTGAATATTCTGTGAAGCCATCTGATGCTGCTTTCACCTGCTGTTTGAATTATTTCTGTTGGTAATCTATCAGCTCCTGGTGCTTTATATTTAGGAGACTGCTTAATGACTTTTTCTATTTCATCCATTAGTATGTGTGGTTCTAACACTGTTGCTCTGTGCTCTTCAGTTGTTCTTTCCTGATGATCTCCTAGAGGATTAAAGAGCTCATTGAAGTATTCCCTCCATCTTTCTGCTATCTCGGGTGGATTATCAATAGCCTTCCTGTCTTATTATTAATTATTTCAGTGGGGTTATAGCTCTCATCTCTTTTCCGCATATTTTTAACTACTTTGAAAATTTTTCTGCTGGCTGTTTTCTTATTTTCTGCTAATGACTCACCGAAACGTTCCCAGGATACTTGTTTTGCT